GATGATTCCCCTGTACCCGTAACGCTTGTGCCGGATCACCTGACCCACGCGGAACTTGACGCCCGTGCGGTCTCGTCGTGGCATCTTTGAACCCGCGTAATACTCCTGCGAAGGCAATGCAGTTGCGCGTGTATGCATGCGTGTGTGTGTGTGTGTGTGTGTGTGCGTGTGTGTGTGTGTGTGCGTGTGTGTGTGTGTGTGTGAAAGGATGACATTGAACGGGAGTCACAACATCACTTCCGCATCAGTGTCTTACACAAGGGTTGCATCAGGCAGCAGGTGGTGGCTGCAGCTTCAAGAAGGAAAACGAGCGACGCAGTTGCAAGCACAGACACGAACCTGCCGGTCGATTCGTGTGTTGTGGGTGGTTGGCGGTTCCGTTTGCTGACGTGACGTTGAAGCAGTGGATGATGTGTGTTGTTCGGTTGGCTGCTGCAAATATGAATGCCATGCGGCCTCCAACCGCTTCAAGAGTCCATGACCTCCCCTCCAGTCTCGACTTGAGACGCTCGCGTCCTTGTCAACGCAACGCACACACACACACACATACAAATGACACAGTTAGTGAGTGGGTGTAAGAGAGCGCTGCTGCAAACACGTAACAATGTAAATGAATGGTTCACCTGTCCAACACCCAAACGCAAACACACTCACACTGAGAGAGAGAGGGGGGAGGGAGAGGGAGAGAGAGGGGGGAGGGAGGGAGAGAGGGAGAGAGGGAGAGAGGGAGGGAGGGAGAGAGATAAAAACAAACACACACAGACACACACAAACACGCAAACACACTCACACACAGACACACACACACCGACACACACAACACATGACACCAAGCAAGACAACATAACATCATGGTGCACCTCACCTTTGGTGCCATGAACGTGCTCAGCAGGAACTGCGCTGGCACCAGTGCCAGGATGAGGAACAGCACTACCCAGTCCATCCTGAGTGCATGAAAAGAGACGCAGCGCACAGCAGAGAGCAGGGTCCGCGAAAAGTAGCTGTTTACGACACCATGAATTTTACCGTGGTAAATGCTCTCTACAGCATAATTTTCTGGTTGGCAACAACCCAAGCAGGCAGCCAAGACAGACAGACAGACAACCTTCCATCAACCACAACTCCCCAGCCAGCCACAACAACAGTCAGCGACAAGGACACCCCGTCTCACAAGAGCACACGCAGCTCACCATGCCGCCCAAGAAGAAGGGCAAGGGAAAGGGAAAGAAGGGGAAGGGGAAGGGAAAGGGAAAAGCAGAAGATGATGCAAAGAAGGCAGAGGCCGGGCTCATCGGCCTCACCCCAGAAGAGGTGCGTTCTACCGTTGAGTTTGGCTTGATCTGGGTGCGGTGGTTGGCGTATCGATGTACATGTGTGTGTGTATGTATGTATGTGTGTGCGCGTGCGTGTGTGTGTGTGCGTGTGTGTGTGTGTGTGTGCGTGTGCGTGTGTGTGTGTGTGTGTGTGTGTGCGTGTCCATATGTCCATGTGCCCAGGTGTATCCGTTCGACTCAATGGGTGTCCATGTGGCATTGTACTCATGGTTGCACGTTGCCGTTGTTGTGCACTTGGTTGATCAGATGGAAGGGAAGATCATGAGGTTGAGGGACGAGCTGGACCGGGAACGTGAGGAGCGCAACTACTTCCAGCTGGAGCGTGACAAAATCAACACCTTCTGGGAGATTACGAAGAAGCAGCTGGAGGAGTCGCGCGCAGTTCTGCGCAACAAGGACAGGGAGATGGAGGAGATTGAGGAGAAGCATGCGGTGGAGATCAAGGTGTACAAACAAAAGGTCAAGCATCTCCTCTACGAACATCAAAACCAAATCACAGAACTCAAGACAGATGGTGAGACTACGGCGTCGTTGCTTTTGTGTGTGTGTGTGTGTGTGTGTGTGTGTGTGTGTGTGTGTGTGTGTGTGTGTGTGTGTGTGTGTGTGTGCACGCATTTGCGTGTGCCAACCTTTTCTCACAACTTGGCACGCACTACATACATTCATGCAAACATTTGGCTCACCAACTCCCATCACCCTTTGCAGCGGCCATGAATCTGCGCCTGGCGCGGGACGAGCTGTCGGAGGATTCCGTCCATCTCCGCAGAGACAAACGCGACCTCAAGGTACATGTGTGTGTGTGTGTGTGTGTGTGTGTGTGTGTGTGTGTGTGTGTGTGTGTGTGTGTGTGTGTGTGCACGTGGTCTGTTTTTTTTTTTCAAATCGTTCACCACGAGCGCGCGCGCATTTTGTGTTCTGCAGGTGTCGATGAAGGAGCAAGAGCTGGATCACATTGCGGCGGTGAAGCAGCTGCAGGTCGAGTACGACAAGAAGATGACGCAGCTGTATGAGGAGAAGGAGCAGCAGGGGCGGGAGATCCGGCAGAAGTACGAGCAGATGATGGACGCGTTGCAGGAGGACATGAACTTGCAGCGCAAGGCGGAGATACACGAGATCGAGGAGCGCAAGAACCAGCAAATACACACGCTGGTGAAGAACCACGAGAAGGCGTTTAGCGACATCAAGAACTACTACAACGACATCACGCTGAACAACCTGGCCCTCATCAACACGCTCAAGGAGCAAGTGGAGGAGATGAAGAAGCGCGAGGAGCGCACAGACAAGCTCATGGCAGAGGTGGCCTCGGAGAACAAGAAGCTTGTTGTCCCCCTGCAAGAGGCGCAGGCCCGCGTCGCAGAGCTCGAGAAGCAGGTGTGTTGTGTGTTTGTGTGTCTGTGTGTGCGTGCGTCTGTGTGTGTGTGTGTGTGTGTGTGTGTCCATGTGTGTGCTTGTTTACGTTGGAGGTGTTGGCAAGGGCGCATGGTTTTTCTCAGCGATGGGTGCCGTTTTGCACGCTGTGTTTCACGACCACGCTTTGTGTCGAAGCTCCCGCCCTGAACTTATAACCTATCACCACACACACATACACACACACACTCTCTCTCTCTCACACACACACTCATTCACACACACACACACACAACACACACACACTCACCACACATACATGTACCACACACACACAACACAACACAATCATCCTCAGCTTGCGAGCCACGAGCGGGACAAAAAGTTCCTGCGCAATGCCAAGGCGCGGATCAAGGTGCTTGAGGACGAGACGAAGCAGCTGGAGTGGGAGCGGGAGGTGCTCAAGCAGCGGTTTGCAGAGGTGGAGGGCGAGCGCGACGAGTTGTATGAGCGCTTTGTCAAGACCATCTACGACGTGCAGCAGAAGAGCGGCTTCAAGAACATCATCCTGGAGAAAAAGCTCTCGGCGCTGGCGGAGTCCCTCGAGAAGAAGGTGTGCCCCTTGGGAGTGGACTGGACTGGGGGGAGTTGTGTGTGTGTGTGTGTGTGTGTGTGTGTGTGTGTGTGTGTGTGTGTGTTTGTGTGTTTGTGTTTGTATTTTGTGTGTTTTTGAGGGGGTTAGTGTTGTTGAAAGACCCACCACCGCTTCCTGACATGACAGTACGCCACGAGCACACGTCTGCACACATGCAAACGGTTGTATTCAAACAAACCTCGCAACATACAAACACACACTAACATACACACTCACATACACACACTCACACACACGCGCGCGCGCACGCCTGCCATCCTCTTCCTCAACTACCATCTCCACAGGAGGCGCAACTGAACGAGGTGCTGGCGGCATCCAACCTCGATCCCACAGCGCTGGCGGTGGTGACGCGCAAGCTGGAGGATGTGCTCGACTCGAAGAACGCGGCCATCAAGGACCTGCAGTACGAGGTGGCCAAGATGTACAAGACATACAACGACACCGTGCGCACCTTCCAGTCCAAGATGGGCGAGTTTGGCATCCCCATGGAGGAGCTTGGCTTCCAGCTGCTCAACCCAGATCCAGACCAGCCCCTCGGCAAGGCGCCAGCAGGCCTTGTCTCCACCACTTCCTAACACACAGAGAGAGAATGTGTGTGTGCGTCTGTGTCTGTGTGCGCGCGCGCGCGTCTGCGTGTGTGTGTCTATGTGTGTGTGTGTGTGTGCATGTGGCGTGTGGCTGTGTGTGTCTGTGAGTCAATGTGTTCTTTCTTCCCCCCTCCTTCCTCCTTTGCATTGTGTTCGCTGAGCCCTTGTTTGTGTTTGGTCGTGCCTTTATACACACAACAACATCAGCAACATTCTGTCTTCCCAGCAGCGGTCTCATGTTGGTCATACTTGTGTCTTGTGTGACATGTGTGATGTGGTGTGCTGTCACCATCTTGTCTGTTGCCTCTTCTGTCGTCCAAGTTCTGATGATTTGTGAAAGATACCAGATAAAATTCTGCATAACAACGCCAAAAACAGCGCATCGTCGCACGCACACCACAACAACAACAACCAACCACCTCACCACACCGAACCTCCACAACTCGCCCTGGCAAGATGTCGATGCCGTTTGGGTTTGGGGAGAAGGTGGCTGTGATGAGCGATGATCTCATCCATAAGGCCATCAAGGAACAAGCACCAGAGCAAGTCAAGGTGTACAAGGGCAATTCTGGCGCCGAGGACAAGGATGTGCTCTCCCTCCGCCTCGACTTTCAAAGTGCGTGTGTGTGTGGATGTGTGTGTGTGTGCATATGTGTGTGTGTATGTGTATATGTGTGTGGATGTGTGGATATGCGTGTGTGAACCGTGGACTTCTGGAGGCGGCCCAAGCGATTTCCGTGCCGCCTGTGGCTGTACGGCTTCCTGCAAGCGTTTGTGTTTGATTGGGCTGACCCAGTGGTTTGTTTGTTTCTCGTTGATGATTCCATGACTTCACACAGAGATCCTCAAGATCGAAAATCTGTGGAGCTTCACTTCATTGACACACCTGCAGCTGGACAACAATCTCATCGAAGTCATTGAGGGCCTGGACGAACTCGTCAACCTCGAGTGGCTTGGTGCGATGCTCTCACTTGGTTGTAGCGTCAGGGGTGTGCCAGCTATTGCGAAGCGTGTGTGTGTGTGTGTGTGTGTGTGTGCGTGTGTGTGTGTGTGTGTGTGTGTGTGTGTGTGTGTGTG